CTCCTCCTCGTCCCAACTCCTCCTCCTCCTCCTCCTCCTCCTCCTCCTCGTCCCAACTCCTCCTCCTCCTCCTCCTCCTCCTCCTCCTCCTAGCTCCTCTCGCTCCTCGAGGGGCGGACCCCCCTTCTGGAGCGCCCCCCCGCGCATCCTCACGCCCGAGCCGAAAACGTAAGCCAGCATCTCGCCCGAAGGGGCCCTGGGGCGCTCGAATACATGGGCACACATAGCAGGATTTCCAGTGTTTTCCCATACTTTCTGGGCTTTTGCCTTCCCCTCCACGTCCCCTCTTTTCCCACACCTTCTGGGGAATCGACGGTCAGTTGTGTCTGCGCGTTGTTCCCCTCCTGATCGTTTCCCGAGCGGTACGGCCAGCAAGCGCCGGCCACGGAGCCAGGCGTTTGTGAGGCAACAGTGGGGGGCCCGCCACGGAGCATGGACGAAAGGTTTCTCGGCGCTCGCGCGTTGCCCATTCCGGGGGCGGCGCACACATAGTATGAGTATGTTGGGGCGACGCCAGCCTCGGAATGCCAAGCCCGAGAGCGATGACCAGCTTAGGCATGCGCCCTCAGAAACCGAGGGAAGCCGGGATATGGGCTACGAGACCAGGCTTGGGGGGCGGAAAGATACGGATACGTGTTGTCCCCGGACCTCTCTTGGGGTGCGTTCTGACCAGGATTTCGAGGCGAATCCAGCGGTGACAACGAGGATTCCCCAGGAGGACCAGGAAAGGCCGAAAACGAAGGGGGACAACACGTATCCGTATCTTTTTCTCCCCCGACAGGCGATGCCAATCATAGGGATATGCCAAGGGCTGCCACGATACGGCCCCTCGCAGCCGACCCCGAAAGCTGGCCGCCCGGGCCTGCTCGGAGTCCGCGTCCCGAGACCTCCAGGGACTCGCAGCTCGTTCGGGTCTGGGTCGTTTGAAGGGGCCCCAGGACACACAAATAAATACACACAAATAAAACAAATCCCTATATTTTCCCATATTTTCTGGGTTTTTGTCTTCCCCCCCACTTCCCATATTTTCCCATATTTTCTGGGGAGTCGAGGATTAATTGTGTCTGTGTGTTTCTTTTCCTCCTGGTCGTTGTCCGCAGGCTCGACGTCCAGAGGCCTGCTTTCGGACCCCGGGACCGTGAAAAGCCTGCTCGCGACGAGACGCCTCCTCCTCCTCCTCCTCCTCCTCCTCCGGTCCCAGGGCCAGGGACAGGATCGATATGCCCCGGGGGCCCGAGACCTGAAACGGTCGAGTCGAATCGGAGGTCAAGGTTCGCTCTGAAAGGGTGGGTGTTTTGGGAAAGGAGCTCCGTGACTGAGCACGGGGCCGCACCAGCGGTCCGCCACGCCCCGACGCGCGCAGCCGCACTCTGCCTGGCGTCGGGCAGCACGGCGTCTCGCAGGGCCAGGGCACCCGCAGTTCCCGCAGACGTCATGTAGTGTACGATGGACGCCGCTGCTTCCACGTCACTGCCGATTGAGATGCTGGGCTCACCTGATACCATCTGGTCCAAGATCTTGCCTGCCGTCTCTGGCCTGAGGGACTCCATGATCTCGCCTGCAGCCCCAGCACCGGATGGCTGGCCCTTCCGACAAGCTTGACGGCACCGGAAGCAGCACGCCTTCGAAGCATCTGGGTACACCATCCATGCCAAGATCGGCGCAGCATCGGTCGACGGCATCTCTTCCAGAATACTTGCTGCCGTATCTGAGCGCATAGACAAAAACATGCCAACAATAGCCTCACATGAGTGCACTGGTGGAGCAAGCACCGTAGTACAATCAACCAGCTTCCTCTTCCTGTTCAGCATGCAGACCACCAAGTTTGCAGCCCTTGCAGCACCTAACATACTCAAGATTACTGGTTGGTTCCTTTTCCCGCAGATCGATAACAGGAAAACGGCCTTAGATGTATCACTGATGCTCCCCAATATTGTTGAAGCCGCTCCAGCCTCGATGCTCTCGAAATACGTACGAACTGAGAGGCGGGACCTACAGGTCTTCAGTGTGCTGAGCGGGAGCCGCGCAAACCAGACCGCACCCATGCTTTTCAAAACGTCGATGGACCCGTGGGCGAGACGCTGCCTCCAGCCTGTATCAAGGCGACCGGAGCGTCCATGTCTCGCTGTCATGGCGTCCAAGATGTCGATCACCAATAGACTGTCCGAGATTGCTGACAGAACAAGACCCGCCTTCCTGGGATCGATCCTCTGCAAGACTCTTGAAAAGATAGCTGGTTTGCAGCTCGTGTAAACAAGATGCTTGGCTATGCCAGCCATCATCGCAGGACCGACTTCATCGACGAAGAGACTGACAGTTGCTGCAAGACGGGGCAAGTTCTCATGCAGGAAGGTGGCAACTAAAGGCGTGCTGTCATCTCCGTCGTTGCTCTCTTCATCTTGGAGCACATGTTCCCAATCATGTTCAGCATCATGTGCTTCTTGATCTCGTGCAAGCTTGGCAAGATGATGGGATTGAAGCCGCAATATGTTTTTGAATCCTGCCTGGAGCAAAGTGTGACTCGTTCCAAGGCTGTGCAGATCAGAAAAGCTGGTGTACGTCTCAAGCTCCAATAAAACGTGCGCGATGGCCTTTTCCATTTCCACGCTGCCTCTCCACACCGACGGACGAGGCCTAGTTGCTGAGCGGCCATTGGGCCAAAATGTCAATCGAAAGGCCTTGCAGCTTGCAGCGCCGCAGCGGAATGCTAGGGGGGGTGGGAGCGGTGACGGCGATGCCGACTCGTCGCAGTCTGTGTTGCCCTTCGTTCTGCGCCCTCGGCACGGACTCTGGAGAAGAGCAGCAATCCTACGCAGACCACGATGGGCGAAGCGTAACAATCTTTGCGCCCTCACGAACCACGGCAGCGACGAAGACGTCAACTCTCTTTCCAGCACGCCTGGCTCTCTGAACAGGATGCTAGCCAACCAGCTTGCTCAAAAGCTAGCCTGCGTGGAATGGGCTTGGACAATCAATCTTGTGGCTTCCCAAGCCGCCGATTCACCTGGCCCGCTACGGAAATCCCGAATCATAGCATTATAACATCTCTCGGGGGCGCACTCCGTACCTCCTCCTGCTTCCGACGGCTTTCAACCAACTTCCCCCGACGGAACCGCCATGACTTTACCTCCGCCAACTTCTGCCAGCCTTCGGCCACCTTCCGCCGAAAAAAAACAGCGAGGCCCTTCTTGCAGCGCCCCGCTTGGGCCCAGGCAGCCAGGCCGGCAAGGGCTACGATCGGCTACAAGCAAGAGTGACCCTGGGCAAGAGTGACCCTTGGTGCGCGGCTTAACACGGGGGCGCGGGGTAACCACACCTGGGCGCGCAGGCCGCAGCTACCGCTTCACATTCAGTCATCTGGAAACCCATCCGTGCCCGCACCAAAAGTCACTATTACGTCTAGTCTTAGCTCGGGCATGTACTCCTACAGGCGAATTTTGGACGAAACATACAAAATACTCAACACATGTTCAAATCATATTCAGAAACCGCCACAACGTCGTTCCCGGTATATTGTTTAAAACTATGTTTAGTATCATTCCTGTAGAGGGACATGCCCGACTTAAGTCTAGTCGATACCATGGGACACCGCGACATGGCACACGCCACGAGCCAACCGATGCTCCTCTCGGCTCCTCCCGGTCCCTCTCCCCTTGCGAGCAGGATGGGCCCCGTCGGAGGCACAAAACAACATCCTGCGGCTTCGACCGGAAACACAAAAACATTCTCCAATCAATGCGTTTCGATAGACTTCCAGGTTCCCGGGTTCCCCGTTCCAGGTCTAGGGCTCAAGCACTGCGAAAATTTGGCGAAAGTGCGCGGCCAATTTCAGCGGGCGGCTGGACCCCTTGAGAATAATGCCATGATGCGATTGTCTCAGGCAGGGTATTTCAGGAATTCCCAACAGGAACTTCTGGCGGCCCTCGTCCAGTCGTGCTCGGCCACTCGTCTCTGGCTGCGCGCGCGACGACAAGAAAACACATCTGGACGTACCATTGTCATGGTCTACTGCTTCGCCGACGAAAGGCCGCGCGCCAGCGCGGCCGCGACCCAACGTGGGGAACCAAAAAGGTACCGATACCACTACTGCCCAGACCTCTCTCAGGGTGCGCTCTGACCAGACCCCGAGGCGGGGTATATTTTTCCTGAGCAGGGACCGACCGCCCGATTATTCCTGTAGGCCTACCACAAAGCGTTCTTAGAACACGAAAAGATGATCGAAGAACGACGACGACGACGTCCTCATAACACAACACCAATGCGGTAAAAGAAAGACGGCCTCGGCCATCAATGCTCGAAGACCATGTCTTGTAAACCAAAACAACATGTTATTGTAATATTCGTTGGTGGGATACTGAGCATGTCAAGACGCTCCGCCACTGCTTGAATCGGCGGCCAGCGACGGGAGGAAGTGAGGAGAATGCCCTCTCAAAAGGCAGCGGGGCTTCTCAAAGCCCTCCCGCCTTCTGGCTCTTCGTGTCTTCAGGCAACGCTTCGAAAACTCCTCAGAAGGCCGTGGGACTTCCGAGCCTTCTGAGAAGGCCCACCCCTTCTCACTTCTTACCTGGGCTCGCAGCCGATTGTCCCCGCCTGACTTTTCCGGAGCAAAGAGGGCCCCAAGGCAGGCCAAGAGGCCCCCAAGACGGCCCAAGAGAGCCCCGAGAGGGCCCGGGAACTCTCCGAGGCGCCCACGGTGGCCTCCAGACGGCCTGAGAGGCCCCCAAGAGGCCCCAAGAGGGCCCCACAGGAAGATCAACTAGGCGCAAGAGTGACCCTGGGTAAGAGTGGCCTTTGGTGCGCAGCTTTTGGGGGCGCGAGGGAGCCAAACCCAACGACGCGGGCCGCTTATATCGCATCGCGCTCGGCGATCGGGGAGAGCCCGATGAGCCCGCACCAGAGGTCCCTCCAGCGAAAGGTCGCTCTTACGTGCAGTCGAGAGGACCACCCGGCAGCCCTCAGGAGGCCCGGCGCCCATGGAATGCGAAGGCCCGCGCGGCCGCGGTCCTCCACCAGCACCTGGCTGCCCAGCGGCGTGACGTCGAGCCGCTCCCCGCCCGCGGCCGCCGCCGCGGCCACGGCCGCGGCGCCGCGCGCCGGCGCCGGGCGCGCCGCCCTGGGCTCTCTTTTTTGCTGGGCGGCGGGGCAGAAGGCGGGCGGGGCAGAAGGAGGAGCAGCAGGGGAGGAGGAGGAGGAGGAGGAGGAGGAGGAGGAGGAGGAGGAGAGGAGGAGGAGGAGGAGGGAAGGAGGAGAAGGAGGAGGAGGAGGAGGAGGAGGAGGAGGAGGAGGAGGATTAGGAGGAAGAGGAGGAGGTGGACGAGGAGGAGGAGGAGGAGGAGGAGGAGGAGGAGGATGAGAAGGAGGAGGGGAGGAGGAGGAGGAGGAGGAGGAGGAGGAGGAGGAGGAGAAGATGAGAATGAGGAGGAGGAGGAGGAGTAGGAGGAGGAGGAGGAGGGGAAGGAGGAGAGGAGGAGAGCAGGATGAGGAGGACGAGAAGGAGGAGGATGAGGATGAGGAGGAGGAGGAGGAGGAGGAGGAGCCCAGTCTCGATGGTGGTGGCATGCTAATTCGGTCTCCGCGCAGGGCCGACACACGACCGCCCCGACGCCCAGCTGCAGGAGCACCTTCCCCCAGTGGAGCAGGGGGCATCCTGTCGGCTCGGAGCACAGAAGGGTGGGGGGGGTAGACCCAGATCCCCGCAGAGGTACCCCCCCAGGATGCCCAAGAACATCCAACCAGCACGAAGAACATCAGGATACCTTTCCCGAAGCGACCTCGATCTTGTACCTCTGTCCGACCGTGACCTGCAAGGGCGGAAAATGCACGCTCTTCGCCCTGTGCGCCAGACGGCGCACGCCTGCAGGCGGCCTAAATTTGCAGCTGCGGGCTGAAACTATCATACCGTCGACGTCCTGTCCATGGCCAGACGTCGTGGTTCGTCGGGGGAGGAGGCGGAGGGAGAGGAGGAAGCACCGCTCCCCGACGAGGTCCCAACGAGGTCCCCAACGAGATCCCCAACGAGATCCCAAGAGAGGAGGAAGCAACGTTCCGCGTCGGTCCGACTGTAGTAGACCCAGATCCCTGACGAGGTGGGCTTTTCAGTCCGAGTGACTTTTCTCCTCGACGTCGGCCTCGTGGGCCCGCTGTCGGGCCCCGTAAGTAGGACCCTCACGCACGGATGCGGGGCGAAAAACTACCCCCCAGGGCCAGCGCACTGCAAACACATATGCACGCACGCACGCACGCACGCACGCACGCGCGCGCACGCACGCACGCACGCACGCACGCACGCACACACACACAAAAAAAAACACGCACACACACGCGCCGCAACACTCTCACACCTCTATACATACATATATACATATAATACATACGTATGTGCATGTATGTGTGTGCATATACACACATTTGCACATGTAGACACACACGCCCGTGCATCTGCACCAGGTACATGCTCGGGCGTTGCGGGCGGGCGCTCCCTCACACCAGCAGGCAGGAAGAGACGCCCAAAGAAAGGAGACAGCCCTCCTTCTCATCCTTCCCCTCTTTCTTTTCGTCTTTCTTTAGTTATCTCTCTCTTTCTAATTCTTTTTCTTCTTGCCCCCCTGGCCCCCTGAACTAGTCTATCGCTGGGGCTGATCATCCTGGGGAAACTAAGCACGTGCACGAGCAGATGAAAATGTTAATTTCCTTTAAGCGCTTATGAATTAAATGTGACAAGTTTTGGATTGTGGGGCGCCGGGGCGCCCGGTTGCAGCGGGCAGCGGCGGGGGCGAGCGGCGGCACGCGCCCATGTTTTTTTTGACAGGCACGGAGGAAGTCCTGTGGCAGAGGGGCGGCGCACGCACACGCACGCACACACACGCACGCACACGCACGCACACGCACACCGCCACACACGACGAAGACGACGACGACGACGACGACGACGACGACGCCACACACGACAACAACAACAAGAACAACAACAACAACAACAACAACATCATCATCATCATCATCATCATCGTCATCATCATCATCAGCATCATCATCACCATCATCATCATCATCAACAACAACAACGACCACCATTTAAAGGCTGTTCAATGCTTTCTGATCGCGTGACAACTAATGAGTATATCCCAATCTCTCGGTACCCGCCCTCGTCGTCTTCGATCGTACACCTTGGAGGCGTACGTCCTTACCTGCCACGTGCAGTTAGTGCAGCCCCTAAAACAAGAGAAAAGAAGATGGGTGGAATGGGGGAGGGAGAAGAATGGAGCACGAGAGAAATGAGCAGGAGGGGGGCAAGGAGCAGAAAACAAGTGGTATAACCAGAAGGGCAGATCGGGTGGCCAGACACATAGCGGGCAGGTCGGGAAGGCGGGCGCAGGCGACCAGGTCGAGCAGGCGGGTTGCTGAAGCGTGGGTCATGCGTGAATCGCGAAGAAATCACGAGCGATAGCGCGATTGCCAAGTCCGCCGGCCCCCTTGTGGGGCCACCAGGCTGCGAGGGTGAAGATTACAGCTCCCTGTTCCAGTTGCAGCTTCCAGTTTCCACTGTTACAATCCTGCTTTCTGCTTCCTACTGTAAATTGTTGCTGAACGCACGAAGGGAGGGGGCACCAAACAAACAATTATACCACGCCTAGGTCGCGTTGTTTGAATTCCTGGGGGGGTGCGGGTCAAGTAGAAATACATGATATTCACGCCCTCGAAACCAGACTCCCGAATTAATTATACAATTCTTGCGCCCCCGAAGCCATACACCCTTGTAAATTACGCCATCTTCGCGTCCCCGAGACCAGGATCCCTTGCACATTATACGATCTGTGCGTCCCCGAGGCCACAAACGCTTCTTAGAGTACACCATATTCGCGCCCCCGAAAGCATAAACCTTTTGTGAAGTATCTAATGCTCGCGTCCCCAAAACCATACACCCTCAAACATTACGCGATGTTCGCGTCCCCAAGCCATAAACTGTCGCACATTACAGCTTGCTTGCGTCCCCGAGGCCACAAACCCTTGCAAATCAAACAATATTCGCGTCCCCGAGGCCATAACCTTTGTACATTACGCGATACTTACGCCCCCGAAGCCATAACCCCCTGTAAAGTATGCAATGCTTGCGTCCCCGACGCCAGCAACTTTTTTTGATTGCGCGAAAATCCCCTCCCCGGCCATACATCCTCGTAAATGATTCGCGCACTGGAAGCCAGAAACCCTTGCAAAGTATACAATATCCGCGTCCCCGAAGCCATACAACCTCGTAAAGTAAAAAATAATTGCGTCCTCGAGGCCATAAGCCATTGCAACTTACGCGACACTCGCGTCCCCGAAGCTATACACCCGCGTAAAGTATACCAAATTCGCGCCCCCGAAGCAATAAACCTTCTAAAACTATGGAATATTCGTAGTTCTGAGATATTCCGCAATTTGTGAAGTCCCGAAATTGCTTCACGTCAGCGTCCAGACGTCCCAACACAGCTCTTGCAAGTCCCATTCCAAGAGAGGGGGGCTGGCGGCATGGGGGCGAAACCCTCACGGGTAAATCTAACAAATAACTAAAGCGAGAGCATGATTCCCGAGCGACGAGGGCGCATCGTCTGAATAAACTGTGAGGAATTCCAACGCGAGAGCGCGATTCGTACACAAATTGTGAGGAAGTCCCGCGCGAGAGCGCGATTTGGGAATATATTGTGAGGAAGTATGATGCGGGAGCCGCTGTCGTTGCAAACCGGGGGCCAACAACCCGGTTTGAGCCCCGTGACACTCCCTGATAGGAGACAGGGTGCGAGCCCCGGTGGAAGCACTTCAACTGAAACATACAATGGTCACCGGAGGGGGGATCAACGATAATCATTATTCTGTAATGAGAGTTCAACAATAACAACATCAGCACCAGCAGCAACAGCAACAGCATCAGCAACAACAACAACGACAAAAACGACAACAAAAAGCAGCAGCATCTACAACAACAACAACACTGACAACAGCAATATAACAACACTATCAACACTAACAGCACTAACAACACTAACAACACTAGGGACAACAACAATCACAACAACAACCACAACAACAACAAACACAATAACAATCACAACAACAGCAACAACCATAAGGTTCAGACTGTTCGCACCTATCAGCTCACGTGCCAACTGATACGTATATCCCAAACTCTCGGTACCCGCCATCGTCGTCTTCGATCGTACTCCCTTGGGGGTATATTTCCTTACCTGCTACATACATTGAGTGCAGCCCCTAAAACTGGAAGGAGAGGACGGGTGGGAGGGGGAGGGAAAAGAATGGAGCACGAGAGAAATTAGCAGGAGGGGGGCAAGGAGCAGAGAACAAGTGGTGGTAGAACCAGAAGGGCAGATCGGGTGGACAAACCCATAGCGGGCAGGTCGGGAAGGTGGGCACAAGCGGCCAGGTCGAGCAGGCAGGTTGCTGAAGCGTGGGTCCTGCATGAATCGTGAGGAAATCCCACGCGAGAGCGCGATTCCCAAGTAAATCGTAAGAATCAGCCAAAGCGAGAGCGTGATTCCTGAGCGCCGAGGGCGAATCGCCTGAAAGAATTGCAAGAAGACCCACGCGAGAGCTCGATTCGTACATAATGTATGAAGAAGTCCCACGCGAGAGCGCGATATTGCAATACTTTGTGAGGAAATATCAGGCGGGAGCCGTTGTTTCTGTAGTTCTGGGGCCAACCACGCAGTTCGACGAGCAAGACTCCCTGATAAAAAAACAGGTTCTAGTTCCCAGGAGAGGCATTTCAAATAAAAAACACATGGTACGAGAGGGGGATCAACAATAATTATTCGTCCGAAATGATAATTCAACAACAGCAACGATCAGTTTAAGACTGTTCACTCTTATCTACTCGAGTGTCCGTCAAAGTGCATTTCTCCAACCCTCGATACCCGCCCCCCTCGTATTCGATCGTACCCTTTTTCGGGGGTATACCGTTCTTCCCTGCAAGCCGGGCCCGGGCAACCCGCTGGGCGGCCGCGGACCGTCGGCCTGGCCAGCGGCAACGCTTACCGGCGGCAACCCGACCCCAATAGGGACGGACAGGAGACCGACCACGACGACGACGACGACGACGACGACGACGACGATGACGGCGA